ACAGTAATTTTGTGTTAGGCATCTACTGAATATTAATAACAAAAAATAAACATATTATTTACATGTACAGGTACAGTACTTCTAGTTAATGAATCTCAAGAAAGAACTACATAAAAATCATTTCCAATTTATTTATGAAACAAGGAGTCCTAGCCCTCAGCTGATCAAAAAGCATAATTTCTCAGATTCTCACAGATGACATACTGGAAGAGGTTTAGTTAAACTGTCTCCAGCACCTGAATTTCATGTTTATTTTGGGTTCACCTGCAATGATTAAAGTAGCTGCACCCTACGTGAGTTTTATAATTCAATTTCTGTGACTGTGTGCTCCATTGTTACCCGAGTACGACACACTCTGGTAAATTAATCCAATTATCAACTATTAACTACAAAAAGAGTATAATCTTATAAACAGTCTTGTTTTGTCCTTAAATATCTCCTTTAAATGTCTTCTAATCATCCCCTCCCCATTCAGTTATAGTACTGTCACCCCATCTGGTCCCCGAGATATGCTAGGGACTGACAGTTGGTTGAAAATGTTCAAAGGAGGGCAGCCAGACTGGTGCCTGCACTTCGGCACCTCAGCTACCCTAGGAGATTGGAGCGCCTGAACTTGCCTAGCTTGTATTACAGACGGGCAAGGGGGGACCTAGTTGAGGTGTATAAGCATCTCAGGGGGCACTACTCAGTTGAGTGTCCTTACTTGGAGCTGGCGGACGCTCGCCCCACAAGGGGTCACAGCTCAAGATTGAAGAAGCCGCAAGTCAAGAAAACTGTGAGGGCAAACTTTTTCGGAGTGAGTGTTGTGAACTCTTGGAACAATCTACCAGAAAGTGTTGTGATGGCACCGAGTGCGAGGTCCTTCAAGACAAGACTTGACCAACACTGGAGCGGGTTCAGGTACATTCAGGAGCCGGTGCATGCCCAGTATTTGCCAACCGTGCGTGACAGAGACGTGACCGATCGCCCGGGCGGCTAGCGAGCCGATCTTTTGGTGAAGAGGATAAATGAAAAGGAAAAGTAATCAGAGACATGACCGATCGCCCAAGCGGCTAACAAGCCAATCAGTGGCGAAGAGGATAAAAGAAAAAGTAATGTAAAATCCTCCAAGTTTCAGTCATATCCCCTCCTGATCTTCTACAGGGAAGTGTGGGTATATTCAGCTACTTTAGCCTGTCCTCATATATTAAAGCATTTAGAAATGGGACTAGGTTGGTAGCACATCGTCGAACAATCTCCACGGCCTCAATACCTCTGACTAAAAACAGATTCCACAGCTAACAGATTTGCATATTTTTGGTGAGGTCTAACAATTGTAGCATACAATCATCTAAATCCATCACTATCCAGGTTTATGATTTTGTCTTTTAATAATGCGGACAATCATACACAGGTATACTTACTTTATAATTCTCTCTGCTAGGTGATGGGAGGTCACTTTATACTCCATGACCATCCCCCATACATCTTTTTCTGCTGCACTTTATCCCACTCTCCCATGCTGTACACTGTATACTTATGATAGCTTACTTTCCTCTTGCCAATACTCACACACACTTGCATTGACTGGGATGAAAATTAAGTAACCATATCATCTCTTTTCGGCTTTCTTGCAATTTAATATAATCACCCTCATCTACTATTTTCCTAAAACTGCCTCTACTGTATTCCTAACTATGGCAAGAATAAACGTGTTCACCCCTTCTAAAATTAGAGTTCATTAACTGCAGCAAAAGACACAAGAGGTCATGCATGGCTTATTCCTAGCATCCTAATTACTGTACTGTATTGTTTACCATATTCAAACTTGTCTTCACCTAAAAATTTGCCCCACCCCTTTTCATTTCACCTTTAGTTTCTACCCCAAGCTTATTTCACCTTTAGATAAACCTTCCCGGCTTACTTCACCGGAAGATTAACACTCCCAAATTTTCACCAGAACATTAACCCTCTAGCAGTTAGGTTATGGTTAGGTGAGTGTTAGGTCAGGTAAGTGTTAGGCTACGGCTAATGTTGTGTTAGTGTTGGATTATGTTAGTGTTAGGTTATTGTTAGGTTAGAATAGTGTTAGGTTAGTATTCAGTTTGGTTATATTGGTGTTAGGTTAGTGATAGGTTGGTGTTAGTATTAGGTTGTGATTAGTGTTAGGATAGGTTATTGTTAGATTATGTTGGTGTTAGATTAGGTTAATGCTATGTTTGGTTAGTGTTAGTTTACAATTACGATAGATTAGTGTTAGAAGAGGTTAGGTTATTGTTAGTCTTTTTTATAGGGAAAAGCCCTCCCGGGCACAGGTCATCGACCTACATTTGGACCTGGGTGCAACAAAATAAGAGTAAAAACAAATTAAAACAGAAAAGAAAAAGATTACAGGTATATTAATCTACACCATGAAGATGCCGGAAAACCAGCTTTTAAAGCGAGACAGATTGCATGAGGATGGAAACACAGAAGAAGGCAGAGCATTCCACTGTTTGGCTGTGTGAGGAAAGGAGGTACTATAACGGGTTATTCTAGTGTGACCGACATCCACAGAGAAACGGTGGGCACGATGGGCAAGACGTGTGTTACACGAGCCCACGGCCTTGCCAGCAGTACACAGGATGCCAAATCCACTGAACATTGCCCGTTAAAGTACAGTACTTGTAAAAGAGAGAGTGAAGCAACATTGTGGAGAAGAGAAAGAGAAGAAAGAATATCAACTAAAGAAATGCCTTTGATTCCACCCATTCTAACAGTTGGACAGAAGAAGAGCCACCCTAGATATGAGAGCAGTACTCCAAGTTAGGACGAATGAATCCCTTATGTACTTGGAGCAACTGCTCCGGAGTGAAGTAGCTACGGCATCTGTACAGCATTCCCAGCTTTTGGGGAGCAGCTTTAGCAATGTTGAGGATGTGTGGCTTCTATGACATAAGAACATAACATAAGAAAATAAGGAGTCTGCAATAGGCCGGTTGGCCTGTGCATGGCAGCTCCTGTCGAGAGTTACTACCACTCTCTATCATCCATGAATCTATCCAGTCTCCTTTTGAAACTTTCCAGCATTCCAGCACTTACTACATAGTTGCTAAGGTTGTTCCACTCGTCCACCACCCTATTTGTGAATCAGTTCCTTCCTATCTCCCTCCTAAACCTAAACTTATCCAACTTAAATCCGTTGCTTCGAGTCCTATCCTGCTCGGATGTTATAAGAACTTTATCTATATCCCCTTTATTGATTCCTTTCACCCACTTAAATACTTCTATCATATCTCCCCGCACTCTTCGTCTTTCTAGGGCAGTGGTTCTCAACCCTGTTTGCCCCATGCACCCCTTTCACCATATGTCAGAATGTCATTCCCCCCTCCTTTCCATGATTGTCTGCCTCAAAAAGTGCATTCCAAATAATATGCATATAATACTGAAAATCCTTTATTTTTTCCATATTAGTATCAGTTTCCCCCCCCCCTGAAAACCTGAAGGGGGAAATTCCCCCCTGGTTGAGAACCCCTGTTCTAGGGAATGCAAGTTTAGTTTCTTTAACCTATCCTGATATGGAAGGTTTCTAAGTCCGGGAATCATTTTCGTCATTCTTCGCTGCACCGACTCTAGTGAATTGATATCCATTCTGTAATAAGGGCACCAGAACCGAACCGCATAATCGAGGTGCGGCCTGACTAGCGCAAGATATAGTTGCAATAAGACCTCTGCACTCTTATTACTTACATTTCTAGATATAAAACCCAATACTCTGTTTGCCTTATTTCGAACATTAACGCACTGTTTTCTAGGCCGTAGGTCTGGTGTTGAATTTCATTTGTCATTTTTCAGACTACCCCTGCAGTTTATTTAGATCCTCATGTAATTCATTTGCATCCTGCCCTGAATTAATCTGCCGCCCTATTTTGGTGGCATCCGCAAACTTGCTTATGTCACTGCTGATCCCAGTATCTAGATCGTTTATGTAGATTATGAACAAAAGTGGGCCTAGTACTGACCCCTGGGGAACCCCACTGGTTACACGGCCCCACTCAGATTTAACACCATCTACATCGAGGAAATGGTGAGGCCTAGCATATCTATTTTAGAATTTGGCAGAATTATTGCGTCCTGAAATGTGATTGGTGGGAGATCATCTAATTTGGAAAGCGTAAGTGTTAGATACTGAGTCTTATTACTATTGACTCAAAAAATTTCCCCACTACTGACGTCAAACTGATCAGCCGGTAATTTGACGCTGATGCTCTGTCTCCCTTTGTGAATATGGGAACTACATTTGCCTGTTTCCACAAGTCCAGCACAACTCCCGTGTCAAATGATTTTGTAAATAAATTTACGAGGGGAAATTCGGAGAAGAATTCTCGCAAGAATTGCCAGCTTACCCTCCGATAGTGCCATAGTTGGCGTTTAGAGTGGGGTGGGGGAGGTGGTCGTGCATAGTTTGATTTAATAGAAATAAGATTGTGATCAGAAGACCCTAAGAGGGCAGAAATTAAGTATGAATAGAGCGAGGAGTTAGAGGAAAAACACAGATCAAGAATGTTAGCAAGTTGATCGTGTCGATCAGGAACGCGTGTAGGGAGCTTGATTATTTGTTCCAAATCATTAAGTAGGGATAGCAATGATTCATGGCAAGAAGTGAGATAATCAAAGAGTTCTAGGTTAGGTTAGTGTTAGAATCCGAATGGTTAATCTTCAAGTGAAATAATCTGGGGAAGAGACTAATCTTGACGTGTACCCACACATAGTAAGCGAACACTGATACTACCAATCACAATAAACAACTCACTTAAACGATTGTTAAGTGAACAGTCTTCCTGAATATTCTAGTTTAAACACAAATATGAACTGAGATCATTTTAGTGGAAGAAAATTTATTGCCTTGAGTTTTATATTTCCACAAGGGAATGAAAACTTTAATATGAAATTGAAACCGTCTCCAATACGATGCCTAGGTCCAATACTGTATCTTCTGGTATCTTAAGTTGCGATAATAATCAGTTATACATGTGTCTTACCTGTATGTACTTCCATGTTTCCTTCCTTTTCGACGCTATATAACTCCCAAATCGTTGCGACATGGTGGACTTGTGCTGCACTTCTCTGGATGCAGCAACTCGACAGCAAGGTACAGCAGACAGAGGTAATAGTCAGCACACCCTTCCCCCTCCAGACGTCGTCACACACTGATTGTTGTTGTGGCCCGTCAGCTGATCATGCTCACCATCTACCAACCCTCTCGACAACGAGAACGAATCAGAATTACCAACGTTAATAAAAAGCTACAGTTCTGCACATATATTGCACATATTAAGTAAAAAGCACACGTATAGTAATTAATGTGAAGTAATATATTTATCAGCATAAAGTAAGAAAGTAAAACAAAAAAATTTAAAGCATCTATGATAAAAAATGGCATTGGAAGTTCATGCAAATGTTTAAATAAAATCAATCAAATAATGCGGTAAATATCAACTCAACTATGGTTCTGAAAGAAAAATAAATTAACAGTGGTGTTATTGAAGAGATTTAGTGAAACATAGTGCTCCTACTAAGACCTAAGTAATGCCTGGCTACAACCCTCATCCCTAGCTTAATTTAAAACCCAACAAAATTTTAACACCTTTTGACGGTCGAAGACACCTTTCAAGAAAAAATTAGCATTCTTATGTTTTCTGCTGTACAGGCAGACTTAAGTCTTTATATATACACTGTATATATATATATATATATATATATATATATATATATATATATATATATATATATATATATATATATACAGGGAAAAGGGAAACAATGGAGCACCTTAGATTTCGTCTTGAATCAAGACATCTCCAGAGACAATTGAATTATATGGACAAAAGGAAAAGTAACGTGCCCAATCGCCCAAACGGCTAACGAGCCGATCAGTGGTGATGAGGATAAAAGTAAAAGTAGGTAAAAGAGAGAGAGAGGTTTAAGTATACTGTACAGGGTAACCTTACTAAACACGGTCAGGTCATAAACATGACATCCACTGATCTGCACACCAACACCAACACCAACACACACGTGTAGGAGCTTCAGAGAAAGGGCGACGCCGCCACGTGTCTAAGTCAAGTCAGATCAAAAATATGGGACCACTAATCACCTATCCTACATCTAACTCCAATGCGTTTTCATTGTGGATCTACATGATATATATATATATATATATATATACAGGATAACGTTTCAAAACATGAGGTCAGGTCAAAAAACATGACATCCACTAATCCACACCGCAAACACAAAAGGAGATTATATGAACGGGCGACATAACTAGTACATATTCAAGTTCCAGCAAGCGTGCAACAGATCAAGAACCACCTTAGAAAGTCTACCAAGCTCCACATCCAAAAGAGCTTCCTTGACACATTCAGCGCTGGTTTCCAATCAGCCAAATGGAACCTGGTGGCTACAAAAGGGGAACCACCATTCTTTTACTTTACTTTTATCCTCTTCACCACTGATCGGCTCGTTAGCCGCCCGGGCGATCGGTCACGTCTCTGTCACGCACTGTTGGCAAGTACTGGGCATGCACCGGCTCCTGAATGTGCCTGAACTCGCTCCAGTGTTGGTCAAGTCTTGTCTTGAAAGAGCTCACACTCGGTGCCGTTACAACACTTTCTGGTAGATTGTTCCAAGAGTTCACAACTCTCACTCCGAAAAAGTTTGCCCTCACAGTTTTCTGGACTTGCGGCTTCTTCAATTTTGAGCTGTGACCCCTTGTGGGGCGAGCGTCCGCCAGCTCCAAGTAAGGACACTCGACTGAGTAGTGCCCCTTAAGATACTTATACACCTCATTCAGGTCACCCCTTGCCCGTCTGTAGTATATGTTAGGCAAGTTCAGGCGCTCCAATCTCTCAAGGTAGCTAAGGTGCAAAGGGCAAGCACCAGTCTGGTGGCCCTCCTTTGAACATTTTCAACCAACTGACAGTCCCTAGCATATCTCCGGGACCAGACAGGGTGACAGTACTCCAGATGGGGAAGCACTTCACTCTTGAAGATCGTTACGAGGGACGGACCGTCTAGAAATCTGAACGACTTTCCTATAAGACCCAATAATTTATTTGCCTGATTTACCTTCTTCTCGCAATGGCCCGAGAGCTTCAGCTCGTTGTCAACATACACACCTAGGTCCTTCTCACATTCAGTCTCAACTAGTACATTTTCTTCTTCCCGTTGGGACATATGATACGCCTCCTTACCGTTGGTACGTCCCAGGTGCATCCTCTTACACTTCGTGTCATTGAATTTCAGCAGCCATTTCTTCGACCATTCTTGGAGCCCACAGAGGTCCTTCTGCAGATCTTCACAGTCTGCTTGGTTCTTGATTTCCCGGAATAACTTGGCGTTATCGGCAAGCATTTGTATGGAGGAGTGTACAACGTCAGGCATATCATTTATGAAACAAACAAACAACAGCGGGCCCAATACACTGCCCTGTTGTAACCCGCTTTTGACAGGTACGGATGATGATTTCGTGCCATTGATCACCACACACCGCTTGTGGTCATGTATAAAGTCTTTTACCCATGCTTAGACATCTCCCTGAATTCCTTACCATTCCAGTTTGATTTTCAGCCTTTCGTGGGGTACACTGTCGAAAGCCTTGGCAAAATCTAGTTAAATATTGTCGATATTACCACCCCGTTCCAGAATATGGGTCCAAATATCCAATACCTTGAGCAATTGTGTTAAGCAGGAGCGCCCAGGCATAAAAAGTGTTGGCAAGCCTTTACAAGGTTGTTTCGTAATAGATGTTCCATCGCGGTATCTCTGATAATACTCTCAAGTACTTTACATATTATGCTGGTCAGGCTCACCGGTCTATAGTTGTTCGTGGAGTAACGATCGCCCTTCTTGAAGATAGGACTCACATAAGCCACTTTTCATTCACTGGGGACCTTTCGTTCAACCAAGTATTTACAAAGCAGGATCGTCAGGGGCTCGGCAGGTTCGTTGCTGAACTCTTTTAACACTCTAGGATGCATCATGTCAGGGCCGGGACTCTTATGGACCCTTAGCTATAACAGTTTATTTCTAATACCCTCTTCTGTGAACACAATGTGGGTCAGTGCTCTGTCGAACCGTCTGTCCTCAAACGCATTAAGGTTAATCGCATCCTCTCTTGTGAACACCGAGGAAAAGAATCTGTTCAATGCCTCAGCTTTATCCTGGTCAGAATGTGCTTAACTACCATCTTCAAGCCTCAGATCTGATACTCCTACTCGCTGTAGTATCTTGGGTTATTTAATGGGAGAATGAAGAGTCACATGGTCTGTCTGGCTGGCTGTTTATTCTCTGTTCTTCGTTACTACGTGCCTAACACATTTCGTAAGAAGTAACATAATATATAATATATACATTCAATAAAGGCAGCATATAAACATACATATATATATAACACTATTTCTCCCTTTCAAAAGAGAGCATGGCTGCTACAAATCCTAAATAAACAAAACTTACAGAATTACATATGGCAGGGAAGAAGGGAATAGAACACAACAAATATAACTTCCTAACTAAACAGTTTTGAAAGGCCTGTTCACAATTCAGATAATTAGAGGTCTAATTTAATTACAGGTCTCCTAACTCTGTTTGATCTTCTAGGACTATTCCCTCCATCAAGTTTTACAGGGGTTTCACTTGCACTCTGTGCATTATCAGTGACAGACATATCATCACTACAATCAGTTGACACAGTGAGTGGATGCTGGGAAACATCATCTTTGACATCATCATGATGATGATCATCTGAAACTGTGTCAAGTTTATCATCATGTCCTGGTGCTACATTCATCTCGTCATGTGCCTGAATGATGTGATCCACATGAACATATCTCAAAGAGTTACCACATTTCACTAAATATGTCCTAGATCCACATACCTTGTCAATGACACCAGTTATCCACTTTGCATGTACAGTACCATAACCTTTAGCCATGTTCCTAACTCTCACCCTATCATTTACCTTGAACACTCTTTCACTGGAACTCTTATCATGATACATTTTTTGTTGAGCTTGTTTCCTCTCTACAACTTCAAACAGACTTGGCTTAACTAAACTTAATCTTGTTCTCAACTGTCTCTTCACCATTAACTCTGCAGGAGTACATCCTGTCACACTATGTGGCGTGGTTCTGTATCTGAGTAAGAAATTTGCTAGTCTGTGTTTCATTGATTTTCCTACAGTTCCTTGAATTACCTGCTTGGAAAGTGCTTCCTTTACAATTCTAACTGATCTCTCAGCTGCACCATTAGAGGCAGGATGATAGGGTGGGGTCAGTACATGCTTTACATCGTTGAATCTCATGAAGTTTTTAAACTCTGATGATTGGAATGGAGGACCATTGTCAGAAACTACCTCTTCTGGTATTCCATGTTCGGCAAATATTGATCTTAATTCATCAATGGTGCTACCAGCATTAGTACTGTACATGTGCTTAACATCAATCCACTTTGAATGACTATCAATTAATACAAGAAATTTGTCTGTTCCCTTATCACAGAAGTCAATGTGTACTCTTTGGAAGGGACGGGTAGGCCATTTCCAGGTTTTCAAAGGTGTGCTGGGTGGCATACTCCTAACATTCTGACAAACAGAGCACTCACGTACCATCATTTCTATTTCACCATCCAGTTTAGGCCACCACACAAAACTTCTGGCCAGTGCTTTCATAGCACATATACCTGGATGTTCAAAATGCAGTTCATTCAAAATTTGCCCTCTAAAACACTGTGGAATTAACACTCTCATACCCCACAACACACATCCCTGTTCTACTGATAATTAACATCTCCTTAAATGATACGGTTGAAAGTCTAAGGATGGACAAATCTCTGGCCATCCATTTAGTGTATACTCCAGGACTCTTCCTAATACAACATCTTTCCTAGTTTCATGAGCAATCATTCCGGAGGTGACTGGAAAATCTTCTGCTATCATGGTTACAGCATAAACCTTAGGCTCTACTCCATCATTTGATCCACTACATGGCAACCTTGACAAAGCATCTACATTGGAATGATCATCTGAACGTCTGTACTGTATCTCATAGTCATATGCCGACAATATCAAAGCCCATCTCTGCATTCTTACTGCAGCAAGTGTAGGAACAGGTGATTTAGGACCCAAAATTGCCAAGAGAGGCTTGTGATCAGTTACTAAGACAAAATTCCTCCCATATAGAT